TCTGTAATTGTAATGGTTCTAGCTTCTTGCGAAAATCAGTTGTGGTACCTAATGATGCATTCATCAAAACAGAATACAAAAAGACAAGGAACTGCCAAATCAGCGTCTTTATTTTACAAACGCATTTCTGTCTTGACATTTTTTTTCCTTAATAAAAAAGCAATTTACAAGCTTAAGAACCAAAATGAAGCTGCACAGAATGATTATGAGTAAAATATATCATTTGAATAAATATACTTTTATTTCATGCTATAAAATAAAACAAAAGAAATGGCAATAGATACGTCAGCTTGAGCTAGCTTCATTTACTTCATAGTTGTACAAAACAGTAGAGTTCTGAGGTTCACAGTTGGGTTGTGAGGTTGTGTGGAGAGTGAACAAAACAGGAGTTGGGACACATGTGCTGTCATGACTCGGTTTTGGTGGCCCTTCTCTGGACAGAAGTCTTCAGCTCAGTGGAACGCAATGGACTCATTGAGACCTTGAGGCAGAATGCATGGAAACCACTGACTTGAGGACTTGCACCCCCACCTGAAGAGAAGTGCACGATTATGGACATAGGATGCGGCCCAATGAGACCATTTTAAAACACTATATACCCTGAGTTGAGAGTTCCAACTTTTTGTTTGTTTGTTTTTTGCCTTGTTCCCAAATGCATGAGCAAGAGACATTATAGTGCGTTGAGGGAGTTGATATTGAGCGAATCCCGACAGTCTCTGCAACTTAAGAGCCAGAAGTGTCCACCAAATCAGAACATGACAACACACAGCCCATTCGCAAAACGTGGCTAGACAGCCCAAAAATCCCTTTCTTATTTTGACACAGCTGGAGGTGCAACTCTGCCCAGTGCAGAGTGGATGACTGAGCCACATGCTCAGTTCTTCTGCTGCAGTTAACCAATTATCGCTGGATTTTGACCATAAACACGTGTTTCCTTTAATATATACACAGCGTATATCATGAGAATTTTTTTTTTTTTAAAGAGGAAGCCAACCTGTCCAAACTTTGTCAGCGGATAGAAAACAAAAAAACCAAAAAAAAAATCAATATCAAATTATCCTGCTTCTATTTTAATTTAACAGCTCCCTGACATTCAGTTTATTTGATATGACAGGCCAATATTTCAATAGGCTTGATGATCCAAATACACCACTTTTATAAAAGTTTATTGCTTTCTTTTAATAATACACAGTGGACAGAAACCGAAAAGAAGGTATGGAAGACTTAAGATTTTTCTTTTCTAAGCCAGTATCAGTGTTTGTAAACTACCTGAAGTGAATTTAAGAAGAGGATGAGCTGCAATTTCAAAAAGTAGTCGGACAGCCTTCCCTGTAAACACTTCCTTTTGATTACTTGTGGCCCATAATGCATCTCCTGCATTGTGTGTGGAACTAAGAAAAAGTCAACGAGAGTGTGAGCCAAGGTCAGTTGGTTTTGTGTGTGTACTATGACTTAAGTAAATATAGCTACAAGAAAAGCATTTAAACAATACCCCCGCCATTTACCTATACATGGACTTATATACTTATTTGATAAGAAAACAAAACCTTATTAGTCAAAAAGCATCTTTTCACGGGGAAAGGAACCTGCTAAAGCAAATGAGGCCATTATAGCTGGATAGATACAATTTCCAGAGGTACTATTAATGGGAACTGTTAAGTGCACAATCAATGACAAAAATTCAATAACTTTTTTAAAAATTATCCATTGGCAATTGTAACTAAATTTTGTGGTTGCGAAACGTGCAATTCGACTACAGTATAGGGTAAGCGTTTTTTTTTCTTCTTTTCCTTTCTTCATTTTATTTAAAATGCACACATACTTGACTAAATTTTTAAGCAGCTGCTCCCCGCCAGTGTTGGAGCAGGAGAGGGAAGTACATTTTTCGCGTTCCATGCATCTCCTTCCTTCATTCATTGAAAGACGGAAAAAGTACGGCACATACTGTAGACGGGATTGTCCTCACTGGCTAGAGCGGAGGGATCAACAAATCTCTCTCTGAGTCCAAGGCAAGAGCCTCGTTTGATTGTTATCACTTGCTACCTCAGATAGTCATTTGTCCCATGACGATCAAATAAAATCTGAAACAAACCAAAAAGTCTTTCCTTTGAGTCAAAAGGGAACAAGGTGGTAGAGGACATGAGCTGAAAAAGTACAAAAATGAATGACGGTGGACAACTCATTTCTTCTTGGTACTACTTTACAATACATGTATGTGGCGGTTTCATCAAAACCTCTTGATGCAATCCATTTAAAAAGAAACCAGGCACATTCTTCCAAGTGCCAAACTCTGAAAGGTAAAGCTTGTGGGAAGGCACTAGGTTGAAATGCCACTTGTTGTGAAGGACTCTCTCCTTTGTTTACATTGGCTTCACACAATTACATTACCGATTGCACATAATTTACTATCACCTATTTTATGGCTTGAATGAATGTTGCTAATTCTCATATCGCCTTCATCGCAAATTGGTCAGATTTGTTACAAATGATTGTTTTCAGTGGGGCGCGTACATTCCTTTCAAATCGCAATTAATTCGGCCTACCTTTCACGAATCACCCATTCCTTTTGGTAAGCATTCACTTAGGAAATCAAAAATGTACACTTCAAAAACAATGAGCTAATCTTTGGCATGAACTCATGGCACAAAAAAAAAAAAAAAACAACAAAACAAAACAGTTTGCACCTTTCACTTGCAAATCATTTCTGGGCAATTATTGGCAAAATCAAATTAAAACTCATCAGTAACGGACAAAGTTAAAAATAATGGAAATAAATGTGGTAAACATTCATTTTAAAGCGTTCAGTTGATGTTGGGATCAAAATGTGGTTATTAACTAAAACTGTAAGTAAGAAACACGTACAGAAAAAAAAACCCAACAGAATGACAACCGCATTCGAGTGAATTCCACAGAAATGCGATGCACTCTCAATTGCCCAGTAAAGATAAAGACTGCACATGAGAAAATTATAATCTTAATTCAACTTGGCAAAAGACCACGTCATATTGCTATCAAGCAAAATTGCACCACAAAAAAAAAAAAAAAAAAAAAGGAAAAAGAAAAAGGCATTGACTCATTTGGATGGATAATAAGAGAGCAATGTTGTTTCAAAAAGAGACCACATGAGCTGAGCTTCAAATTACCAAATCGCTATGAAAGGATAATCAATCAGGCCTTCCAAGTGCCTTTTAAGAATCAACAAGGAAATCACAATGGATATAAAACAGTCTTTACATACTAATCTCTACCCAACGCCCAATCCCCATGGTTTAATAAAACAGTAAAAACACAACAAAGACATTTTGCATGATTTGTAACCATGAGTAATCTTGCGGTTGCAGAGTCTCATCTTGTTGTAGTAACTGCTGTGAGGGTAGTACTGTACTACTCTTGACACTGCAGTATCAGATTTAAAAGGAGATTAGCAAACTCTCACTGGGACACCCAAACCTTCCCCACTAACTATGCAAAGTGCATCAATACTTTGTATTATATACTTTCACCACCTCCTTTAACATTTACATATCTTTTCTTTTAGCCACACATGTCAAACAAAAAGTGGTATTGACTGCTGAAAACAACATTGGTCTTAACATTAACATTTGCGCCGCACCAATGCAGAAAACTAAGACGGCGGGTACAAACCCAATTCCAATGAAGTTGGGATGTTGTGTTTCATACCAATAAAAACTGATGATTTGCAAATCATGTTCAACGTATATTTGATTGGATGCATTACAAAGACAGGACATGTAAGATTCAAACTGATCAACTTTATTTTTAGCATATAATCACGAATTTGGAATTTTATGGCTGCTAAGCGTCCCAAAAAAAGCTGGGACAAGGTCATGTTTACCATTGTATTCATCACCTTTTATTTCAATATTTAAAAATGGATGGGAACTGAGGATGCGAATTCTTTGCCAGTCTTGCTTGATCTAAGGCTTCAACTGTTCAACAGTCCGGGGTCTCCGTTGCCGTAGTTTACGCTTCATAATGGAGACATGACTGGACTGCAGGTAGGTCAGTTTAGTACCCTTGTGCTTTTACGACAAAGCCGCTTTTGTGACATGTGCAAAATGCGGTTTGGCATTGTTCTACTGAAATAAACGGGCATCCAAGGAAAAAGATGTTGCTTGGATGGCAGACCACAGAAGACATTTCCACTTTTCATAAGTCTATCTTAGATGAGTTTGGGCCCAGAGAAGCTGGCGGCGTTTCTGGGTGTTGTCAAAAAAAATGGCTTTCGAGTTGCATACAAGTTTTAAGTTGCACTTATGGATGTGGTACCTAACTGTATTTACTGACATCGGTTATCTGAAGTGTTCCGGAGCCCATGTGGTGATATCCTTTCCACATTGATGTCAGTTTTTGATGCAGGGATTGAAGGTCATGGGCATTTAATATTGGTTTTCGCCCTTCCTGCTTACATGCAGTGATATTGCCAAAGTTCTCTGAACTTTTAGACAATATTATGGCCCGTAGGTGATGAAATCCTTAAATTACTTGCAATTGTATGTTGAGGAAAATTGTCCTTGAACCGTTTTGACTATTTTCTCACGCAGTTGTACACAAAGAGGTGAACCTTGCCACATCTTTGCTTGTAAATGACTGAGCAATTCAGGGAAGCTCCTTTTATGCCCAATCGTGGAGCACACCGGTTCCCAGTCAACCGGTTTACCTGCGGGACGTTCCAAACAGGTGTTTGATGAGCAATCCTCAAATTTCTCATTCTTTTTTGACTCTTGTCCCATCGTTTTTTTTTTTTTTTTTTTGGGATGTTGCAGCCATAAAATTGTAAATTAAGGATTATTTGCTAAAAAACATCTTTTTATCAGTTTGAACATTGAATGTCTCTTTGTAGTGTATTCAATTAAATATTGGTTGAACATGATTTGCAAATCGTATTCTGTTTTTATTTATGTTTAACACAATCTCCCAACTTCATTGGAGATGGGTTTGTCGGATAGAATGAAAGGAGAAAACAAACAAACAACAACAACAACAAAAAAAAACAATCGTCCTTGCAAATAATGGAAGAAAAACCATGTCAAAATGGCTGAGATTCCTTTGCTGCTTTTTGCATATTATTGACATGACACGAGTACTTTTGCTTTACTTAGCATGAACGGATCCGGGAGTTGTTGCAACTGCAGTGAATGAATAATGAGTTGTAGCTTACCTTACCTTACCTAACGCGGGTCAAAAGAAGTTGCACATTCTGATCAAATCCCAGTGTAGGGGGAATATGTGGGACTTCAAGTGAGCCCCTTTTCACAGTTAACATTTCTAAAACCGTGATTACATAAGAGCACGCCACCACTATTAGCGATGAGGTAAAAATCCTGTGTTTTGTTGGGAAAACACTTTAGACAGCAAACTGACAACTTGAAGTATACTGGGCTATCGATTTAATATCTATTTCTTAATGTTCCAAAAAACAAACACGAGCATACTAAATGTAGTCACTTGAGCAAATCACCTCTCCTTGTTCGTCTAACCCATACAATCAACAAGGAATATTTCCCCTGTCTATGAAGGCTATACATTGAGAGCATATTCTTTAAATGGTTTGGCAAAACACTGTACATGCACCCTAAAATGAATTTATAACAGTGAACTTGTCTGTGCCCGGTAGGTTACTGGCTATGAGGTAGAACCAAGTAAGTTCCATTGAAGTGAGAATACTGTGATGAGTATGTAGTTGGTTGTATCATGAGGTATTGAACGGATATGTCACAAAAAGCTTTGCAATAAAAAAAAAAAAAGAAAAGAAAAAAAAAGAGAGAATAGATCATTCCTAGTAAGTGAGTGACCTCCTGTGGCCGTATGTGCAAAAACAGGTCAGGTAAAAAGGTGATATGACAAGCATCTTACCAGAGCTTTCACATTTTCAATTATTGCAACATGCCTATATAACTCTGTAAATATGTTTCTAAAAACATGGACAGATATAAAGAGAAATCATCTGGGGGAAGGGAAGCTTGGAGGAGGGTGTTGTGAGTGTAGATAAATGGGATCTCAGCAAAAATAGTAAGATGTCGCTCCCGAAGTAACTCGCTTGCCTCTGCATTTGACACCGAGCATTCACAAAATTGGTAGCACCCCTTTTAGTAAGAAACATCCATATTAGAGGGAGCTGGAAAATCCTTAAATTGATTTGGAAAAAAACAAAACAAAAATCTTAAAGCTTCTTTAACCTGAAGCAGAACCTAATAATCACATCTGGACGCCTGAGCCTCTTCTGGACTGCATTTGGAACTCTCCTCCATATCATTGGCAGGTGCCTCTTCTGCATATTGTGCCTCATAGGCTATCCCCTCAGCGGTCTCGTCCGGGTCTTTCTGATCCGAGCTTGCCTCCGTCCTCTCTGGGGAGTCCATATGATTGCTGCTCTCGGACACTCCCATGTGCTTCTTCCTCAGGTGCTGGTTAAGGGTGCCCTGAAATGGGAAGCATTTTCCACAGATCTGGCAGTGGAAGGGCTTGTTGTCCGTGTGGCCGCGGATGTGGTACTCCAGTTGGTCTTTCCTTGTGTACTTCTTGCCACAGAATTTACAAACAAATGGGGTGATGCCCATGTGCAGGCGCATGTGACGGTCGAGGCTTCCTTTCTGATTGAAGGTTTTACCACAGTAGACGCAAATGAGTCTTTCGTTGTACGGGTACCACTGACTCCTCAGACTCCGCTCTCGCAAGTCGTTCTCCAACATGGTGGGTCCCACGGCGGGTTCGCTGTCATCTGACCCCTGTTTGATGTGACTCAGTACTGCTGCCGGGATGGCCAGGGGGCGCTTTGCTCTGGCTCTCCCACCTCTGAAGCCGCTGAGTATGGAACGGGATGGACTGGAACTACTGAGGTTAACGAAGCATGGCGAAGACAGCCCTGAGTAGGAATAGGCAGCAGACTGGATAACTGGACCATAAGAACCCACGCTAACAGCCAGAACTTGCTCTCCGTCGACCAACTCTGTGTGGTAGCCATCATCGCCAGCTGAGGAACTGTCCGAGTAGGTCGGCCTCTCCGTTTTTTCTACTTTCACGTGCACATCCGTTACTTGCCCATCTTTGCCAATGAGTTCCACTTGCTCCATTTCTCCTTCCATGGGTGCGTCATGCTCTGACACGCTATCGGTGCTGCCGCGATCTGACTGGCCTTCCTCTTGCTGCGGTCGTCCGCGACCAAGGGCTTTTCCTGCAAGATCCAGGCGTGCTTCGTGTCCTGCGTGACTCTGACGGGAGTAGTAAGGGGGGGAGATCTGCGTGGGGTTGACAAAGAGGTTGCTGTCGTTGACCCCGTTGCGATCGGTCTGCGAATCATCCTTCTCTGGGCTGCAGGTATTAACTGGGAGGCTTATTTTGGAGTGGATGCTCTCAAGGATCTGAGTACACTTGTCAATAATGACCTGCATCTGCAGAAAGCTGGCAGCAGTCAGGAAACTGATAATGTCCTTGAGCTGCAGGGACATATGACCTGTGTAGCAGAATGCAAGAAGCTGCTCAAACACCTCAGGGCTTTTGATGACTGAGATCGAAAGGCCACTCATGGTGCTGAGCGCTGAGTGGTCTCGAAAGTAGGGTGAGCTCGCTGCCAGGACGGCCTTGTGGGCGCGGAATGGCTGACCCTGTATGTGAACAATGATGTCACATAACTTGCCCTGTAGTCGCAACTCATTGAGCTGAGTCAGGACGGTGTTGCTGAACTCCGGCACATCAAACTCGATGTAGCTGCCGTCGTCCATTTCTTGAATCTGCTTCTCCAGTTTGTCAACCACCTGAGGGGGAAAGACAACAAACAGAAAACATTAGCAAAGAAACATACAGGGGTATCTCATTTGTCAGTCATTTTTTCGTTCATTTTCCGATCCGCTTTATCCTCACAAGGGTCGCGGGGGGGGGAGGGTGCTGGAGCCTCGGGACAATTTAGAGTGTTCAATCAGCCTGCCATGCATGTTTTTGGAATGTGGGAGGAAACCGGAGAACCTGAAGAAAACCCACACAGGCCCGGGGAGAACATGCAAACTCCACACAGGAAGGCCGGAGCCGGGATGAAGTATTTATACAATGATGAACCCTTTTTTTTGTTTTTTGGTAACAGAAGAACTAATAGAAATAACAGAAAATTCAGAAGTGCATGCAAATATGAATGGCTAGAGAACGGCTGTAGAATCACGGTCGTGCAAATGAGAATTACAGAAATCAGGCTAAAAACTGCAAACTCCCCTTCTACTATTCTCCACGTTATTTCTTTCCAGACAGATCATGTGATATGAGCTGAGATTTGGATTGGCCGTCACTTCTGCGTTGTTCCAAAGCCATTCACTTGTGATGCATATTTTGAACCGCAATCAAAAGGAACACGCGGTCGGGTCGCTTGGCGTATGGCTGTCTTAAAAAACGTAGAACAGGTCTGGCAACATTGTTTTTGGGGTGGCAAGTGAACAATGTAGTACAAACATACTGTAGGCTGGGATAAAAAGTTAACACCCAGTGCACGGTGCATGCATGTGGATGTAGAATTCAATACATTCAGAATTGGGTGGGTGAAAATGGGTTGTGTTAGGCTTAAAACTTCTGAATAATGTCTCACGCAAAAGACTTGCTGCGCTTTACCAGTGATAACAATTTTCTGAACGTTTAGATTGATGATTACATTGATCTCTCTATGAATTTTTATGAAGAACCATTATGTCCTGTAATATTTGGCTTTTAAAGACTGCCAATGGCGTGCACATGTAGTTATTTATTTTCATGTTAATAAACTAATTTACATAGTTAAAATTTTAGTATAGTGTTATTGCGCTGCTGCTGCCTTGACCCTGATTTTGCATTTACCAGAAAAATGAATGTTTTATTTTTATGTACTTGTGTACATAGCTTTTACATGAATTGAGTGAAAGCTAGAAATGCTTTTTTTTTTTTTACCTATTAGATTTGCTGATAACATGATGCTGCCCTTTTTTGTCTTTGTTTTATGTCTTCTGCATGTTAAGTAGCACAATGGAAATAAGGCCTTGGGGGCTTTATCGTGTTTTAATTTTGGTGATGCCTGTTTTCTGTGCTATCCCCAAATAAATTCAATCAATCAATCAATCAATCAAAAACAGCGGACCACCACGATTTGGGAGGGAGAAAGACCAGGCTTCAAAGAGCGAGAATCTGCATATAATTGACGGCCACTGAAATGCATTGTGAAAAATAAAATCAACCCCCCAATTATTAAAACAAAAAAAAAAAAAAGAAAGAAAAAAACTGATAAACCTCCAATATGCGCTATATATATATATGTATATATATTGGCCCGGGACAGAAAGAGACTGGAGCGACTGGTCAGGAGGGCCATTTCTGTCCTGGGCTGCTCCCTGGACACTCTGGAGGAGGTGGGCAACAGGAGGATGCTAGCTAAGCTAAAAGCTATGATGGACAGTCCCTCCCACCCCCTTCAGTCAGCCCTGACAGCACTTGGTAGCTCCTTCAGCCAGAGACCGTTACACCCGCGCTGCAAGAGGGAGAGATACCGCCGCTTGTTCCTACCAACTGCTGTCAGGCTGCTGAATAAACATACGTGAAAACCTGTAACCATTGTAAAAAGCACAGCAATGTTATGCTGCATACAGTATATGCCGTTGCATATACAGTATGCTTATATCTATATCTTATATTTATATTGCATTCTAAACTGTGTACAGTTCTTTTTCTGAAACATTTACTTGTGCATGCAACGCTTTGTTTTTTCTTTTCTAACCCCCACCCCATTCTGCTGCTGTAGACTGCAAATGTCCCCAGTGTGGGACAAATAAAGGTTATCTGAGTACTGTGAAAAGTGCTTTCAAATAAAAAGTATTGTATAGATACCGTTTGTGTGCAAATATCAATGGCCTTTAAAAGTTCTAACCCCTTAACACTGATACTATTTGTGAGCCAAACTATAGCATTTTGCATTGTTTGTTAGCTTAAAGCTAAATGGACTTACCTCAAGCAAAGCTATGTTGTTTTCAATACAAAACTGATAATCATCTTTGTTTTATGTTCAGTTTGACAATAAACATTGCAATAAACAGCTTGAAGCCACTGAAGACTTGTTCATTAACTGGCAAGCTGCTGCTTGTCGTGAAGTGAGTTGACTGCCACTCGATAGCGCTCGACTTGATCACAAATCAAAGGGGGAAAAATGGTTTAGTGACACATTTTCTAAACACAATGTCAACATATTTCCACACAGGAAACAATATTTTAGAGAATAACCTGTGATTTAGCTCCTGTATATGTAGCAGAGAATGTTTCAAGGCTGCTGCAACCAAAGGGGGTAGCATGTCCAAGTTATTTTAACATTATGAAACAGACACATGCCGCTAATTGAAACAGAACACGAGGGTCTGAAAGCTCCCGTTGAGAAACAGACAACACGATGTTGTACTTGGGGAAAACCCACCCATGCAAACTCCACACAGGAAGGCCAGAGCCCAGATTCAAGCAAAAAATCTCAGAACTGCAGAGTCCACAACTTGTCCATTGTGTTGCCACCTTTCAATATGAATTTGTGTTTTTTTGACAGACATGAGCCGCTAAAAGAAAATATTCTTCCTATAACTGGAAGTTTTGGAAATATTTAATTAACATAAATAAGTACTGGAAATAAATTCAAATGAAGACACATTGATAGGAAATAAATAATTCGTTCACTGGACTTCACCAACCCCCTCCTCTGTTTTGGTACAGGACTCATTTCACTCTTAATTCTTCTGATCTGTGACCAACTTTGCCATGTTTTTCCATCTTACACTACGACAGTGGCCATACAGTATGTCACATTGTGCCGACACTGAGCAAGATCTGAGTATAAATGCAGGTGAAATTGAAAACTATATTCAATGTTATTAACGTTCTCTTACAGTTAAGCATTTAGATTGACTAGTTACATAATCCTCAATTAAGATCAGACAAGATAAGATAAAAAAAACCTTTATTTGTCTCACAATGGAGAAATTCCCAATTTACAGCTGCAAAATTATGAAAGATTATGCTCCCGCCTTCCTGTGTGGAGTTTGCATGATCTCCATGTGCCTGTGTGGGTTTTTTCCGGGTACTGCGGTTTCCTCCCACATTCCAAAAACATGCACGGCAGGTTAATGGAACACTCTAAATTGTCCCAAGGCGTGACTGTGAGTTTCGAATGGTTGTTCGTCTCTGTGTGCCCTGTGATTGGCAGGCAAACAGTTCAGGGTGTACCCCGCCTACTGCCTGGAGACGGCTGGGATAGGCTCCGGCACGCTCGCGAACCTCGTGAGGATAAAGCGGATCAGAAAATGGATGGATGGATAGATGTTTGATAGTCTTATATAATCTTAGTATGCTAACTTAAGCATCCTGTGCAGTGATGAATATGGCAGCTAGTCCCCACAAGAACAAATGTGAACCATCGAGCCCACATACGTATATCGCGGTAACTTGCTTCAATTTGAATCCACTTTCTTCAAACTTGGAAGGATCAAAATTAACTTGATGCAATTGCATTGCCTTGATTTTCCTGAGGTTAGCACAACGAAACAGTATAGAAGACGCTCATGGCAACTCATCATATTATGGTGTGATAGATGGGGCCAATAACGGTTGTGACAAGGTCACGACAACTTAGCTCATGGTGGCCCAACAAGGTCACCACTACGGAAGATGATAATGATGATAATTGGAGGTTGGCGATATTAGGCGTAGAAAAAAAAGTAGTGTGTTTCCGGTAACCCGAACGGCCGAGAATTTCTACGTCGAAAAAAAACTTTACGGTCGGCATTTTTTTCAAACAACCCTCTCCATTTTTGTGTAGAGGGTTTACATCAGTGCAAACTCTCGCGATATTCACATTGAGCGTGTGCGTCGGCGGAGGCGGCGGCGCGCCCCTGCCCCCCGAGTCCGGAGCGGGGAGAAAACTAAACAGGTGGCGGCGCCGCCGGCTGCGGAACGGCGGGTTCAGTGTCTTCTCGTTTTATGTTTTATGGTTATTTTGTTTAAATTTTTGATAGGGAAAAAAAAGATTAATAAAAAAAAAATAAATTAAAAAAAAAACTTTGTCCGACCTACCGACCCTATGCTGAAATTTCATGTTACCGGAAACACACTATCTTTTTGTTTGGCCTTAAGAAAATCTCATGACACTGTATAAAAACTCAATTTTATGAAAAGAAAAAAAACCCACAATATTGTCTTTTTGTATATACCAGCGGTGACAAACAATTTTACCAGTCATTTTCTTGTCATTTGCTCTTATTGGCTCAGCGGCGCAAAATATCATGGTCTACGTTGGTCACAAATTAAAATGCACCAATTAATTAACCACCAAAGGTTGCTGGAACTGCACAAATGGAACATAACTTGGCCTGTTTAATGATGGTGCTTTTATTATTGTGACGATGACATTGTGGCAATTTTAATAGAGATATTGTTGTATCGTTACATCCCTCGACACCACTCAATAAGTCTTAATGTCAGACCCTGAAAAAAGGCTTAACAATGAGGCAATATCAATATGTATAGACACACGATCGATACGAATAGAAAATACATTTGATAGGACTGGCATAAGATTACTTATATCGTGATACATTTTTTCAGCTTAGCTCTACCCTGAAATATCACAAGGATATATATATATA